CCCCCCCCCCCCCCCGACGTTTCTCGTACTCTCGAGACCCGCTTCCTGTCTTAACACGACCGCGACAGGAACCTCGAAAATTTCATGAAATTAAAGTATTTCGTTCGATTGAACGAAAATTACGAAGCGAACTTATATGGCGACGATTACTTCTTCGACGTTCGCAAATATTCGCAAATATTAACCCTTTGTACTCGAGTGGTGACTCTGAGGCACCGTTGAAATTTGTTATATCACGTTCTAAGATCATTTTTATATTAACAAAATTATATTTATAATATAAATAATATTATATGCATAAAATGCACTTTGTCATATAAAATAAAAATACCATAAGCCAGAAAAATTATTCTAGATTTACGGTTGAAATAGCTTCGACTGCGAAGGGTTGATAAAATTAAGCAGTCATTTTTAATTAGACGTGTTAATTATCTGTTATACAAATTATAGAAGCGTTCATATAATAATATGTTAATGAACTACATATTCTGTAGTATTACAAATTAATTTAATCTTATTATTATGCCTTATTATCATCTTGTTATCACTTTTAGGTTAAATAAATTCATTCAGTAAAAGCGTTCATATAAAAATATGTTAATGAACTACATATTCTGTAGTATCACAAATTAATTTAATCCTGTTATTATCATGTCTTATTATCATCTTGCTATCAGTTTTAGGTTAAGTAGCCCAAACAAATATTGTAATACTCGGCTCAACTGTTCAGCAGCGATTAGTTCCGATAATACGAATCAACGACCAGCTAATTGGAGTTAAACAATCGAATTATTCAGTTTCTTACGTAAAGCAACCGAAAGCATAATCGAAAGAACGAACAAACGAGCAGTGGCTCGGTAACGAGTGCGTGCAGCTAAAAAAATAAACAACAATTTGTTTATGTAAACGCGTCGCGGATGAACCAAGTAATGCTCTTTTTACCCTAGCCGCTTCATGTTCTTTGATCAATTCCATAATTGGAAATTTGTGACCATTGCCGAGGTAAATAAATAGTAGCCGGTCGACTAGCGTGTCGCGAATTCGCGCGTTACCGCAGTTTACGCGCGGCAAATATTAACAAATAAAATTTGCCGGCCAAATCGTCGTCGGAAGCGACGCGCAAAACTGCGAACCGGTGTATCGATGAGGTCTGGTCGGTCAAGGTCGTCTTACAACTTCGAAGAGCCTCGATAACGCGATAAAAGAAGGCGCAATTTTTCGGATCGCGGTAAACTCGATCGAGACGAAACTGGTAAAACTGCATCATTTTCTTGCGTTCCAGGCGACTTCTCGTTGCACATATTCCCGGTGGAACTGGAGGACGACGGCACCTACCAGTGTCAGGCCTCGCCGACGAACGACGGCCAACCGGCTTTGCGCTCGAGATTCGCCAAGCTGAGCGTCCTGGTTCCGCCGCAGAAGCCGAAGATCCTTCAGGGCGACTCTCTTATCACCACGGAGGACCGGAAGCTGGTGATCGAGTGCGTCAGCGTTGCTGGCAAGCCGCCCGCGGAGGTAAGATTCTCATCTTTCGGGTTTTGAATATTGATTCGAGTGGACGATAAACCAGTCTCCGCGTCGCTTTGTTCTCTTCGGGCCGCGCGATGCTCTCGACGCGTTCGCAAAACGAAGGAACCGGTTGTTGTTTCTAGACAGATTTTTCCGTCGACATTAAATATGTCGGGGCTACGATATAGCACAGCTATCCTCCGCATATAATTCCCGGATCAATTAAAGTTTCGTCGGAAAGTTTCTTATCGGATCTGCCAACCAGTTTCGCCCCGATATCTCTCGTGTCTTGTACGCGGCCATCGAAAAACTGCCTTTCGCGTACATTCCGAGCATTCGTTCCACTTCCATAATGCATTTCAATGAGTTATCTGGAAACTCCGTGGTTCGTCGCATATAGGTACTTAACGTTGAAACGTGGAAACATCTATCGCGCTTCTCGCTTCTACAGCCGCAAGGTTATCCGAGAATTTTATCGTTCGCGGACTAAAATGTTTATCTTTAGCACGCTTTTCTTGTTCTTTTCGCTATTTCTTTTACAAAAGAACTATGCAGCTACTTGCATCGGCATTTTTCACAGATATTTGTTACCATTTCAAAAATATTTAGAAATCTTGAGAATAAGAAATAGTCAAAATAGGTGGTATAAAAAAGAAATTATTACAGTGAAACAAGAAAGATTCTTAACTAGGATGCATGTGGTTATCGCAGAAATCACGAGGGAAGATAAATATTGATAACTAAAGAAATGGCAGCACTTTGAAGTTGGAATATCGACTTCTGCTGGTTTTTTCTTCAACTCTAGCAGGCTAAGAGAAATGGAAAAATGATAATTTAACCTTGACGTTGACCAAGTGTTGATCAAATCGGTCAAGTAGATCTTCCGATATCATGGCAGCTAATTCATAGCTAGCATAATTTCGAGAAAATCGTATTTAAAGGTTTTTCATATTATTTAGCTCAAGATCATGGATCAGGATATGTTTCGATGCCTTTTTATGCCCTGTGCACTATGCCATGCTTCATTGCTGACGTTCAAACAGCTACTCAATCAATTTCTTCAATCTGTCAATATCCTTTGGCAGAGATATCTTCAAAAGTATGAAGGGTGTCCCAAAAATGTCTCGTAATCCGAAAGCGGCGGGTTCCTCGGGTCATTTGAAGCAACTTCTTCCTTTACAAAAATGTTCTCCGAGGCACCGTTAACGAGTTATTAACGAAAAACAGTGACCAATGAGAGGCGAGCTCGGCTGGCGCGAGACGACCGAGCCAATGAGCGGAACTAGGCTTCGTGCGCTGGTTGGCTGGGCCGCCTCGCGTCAGCCGTACTCGATTCTTATTGGTCACTGTTTTTCGTTAATAACTCGTTAACGGTGCACCGGAGAAAATTTTTATAAAGGAAGAAGCTGCTTCAAATGATCCGAGGAACCCGCCATTTCCGGATTGCGAGACATTTTTGGGACACCCTGTATACAGTAATGTCTCTCTAATTGACGCCCAGATTGCGCACAAAAATGGACAATTTGGGAAGAGGAGATACGATTATTCGAGCCTCGCAGTTTATTTTCATAGTTATAAATTGTCCACGATTATAAAAACGAGCCGCAAGACTCGAATAATCGTATCTCCTCTTCCCAAATTATCCATTTTAGTGAACAATCTGAGCGTCGGTAAGGGAGACATCACTGTACTCTGAGAAACCGAAATAAAATCTGTCGGTTTCCTAAAGGCTCCAGATTAGAGAAGCCACTTAAACACAGCCTACGCCAGTGATTCAGACGTTACGCTGGACTATTCTTACGCGAGCTTCTTTAAATCATGTCCGGTGCAGAAATACATTGTACATTCGTGTCATTAAGAGTGGTCCGAGAGAGGCCGTGCGACGAAACGAGGCGTAATTTAAGAACGGAAACCCGTCGGCCGACAACGCGTGCGGCCCTCGCGTGCCGAAATAACGCGTTAAAAGTTAAAACGCATTACGTCGAACGCGTAATTACGGCTACGCTGCGAGAGCTTTGTCCTCTCCGCTCGGCGCGTTGATAAAGGGACGCGGCGGCTCGTTGTCGTGTCCGAAAAATCCTGCTCAAACGCCTCGGTGATGAGAAAAACGCGGCGTCGGCGGCGGCGGCGGCGAGCATTTGCAAGCAACAGAGCCCGTTCCGCGCTCTTTGGCCGATGTTTTGGCATTCGTCTCGAGGCGATGACAGACCGGCCGAAATGCTTTTAAACCAGCCAGAACTGACTCGGCTCGACGAAATGGCAGCTTGACCGAGTTCGGATTGCTGCAGCAGCAGCAGCAGCAACGCGGCAACGGCAGGCGGCGTCGGCGTCGGCGTCGACGTCGACGTCGGCAGAGCTTCAGCTTCGCGAGGCTGGATATTCGCTAGAAAGGGAGAACCGTATCTTTGAGGGTGGTTGCGGAGGCCTGCGTGCATTGCCGGTAAAAACGCCGCGAGATAAAAGACCGAGCGGCGCGGCGGGGAAAAAAAGAGCTCCCGCGCCTCAACCACTGCGCGCCGGGCCGCTTCGATTCCCCCGTCTTTGTCTATTTACTTTGGCTCGGAGATGTTTTTGCACGCAGGTGCATGCGCGCCGGAATAGCGGGGCGCAACCGTAAACGGGGCCAGGCCCCTTTCAATACCCGCCTAGCCACGATGCCATTTGAATAATGGTATCATTAATCCCTTAGCAGCGAAGTGCTGCACGTACTTGACGCGCCGGTGACGCGTTATCGCGACGCCGCTTCCCACGATCGAATTATCGAATTATCGAGCGCAATGTAATTCCGAAGACACTCCGATGCAAGCCAGTAATGAGGAAACGTAGGTCGATATTGAACGGGGAACATATTGCGGTATTCTTCCCGTCTTCCCTCCGCTATTAGTCTTCCGGGTGGAAACGGTCCTCGGAATACGACGTACGAACGGATGTGCGGCAATCGAAATTCGCGGTTCGCGAACATCAAATTCTCGTTGGATTACAATAAACTCCCTTTAAGCGGCTCGATTATTTCATCGCAGTTTAGTCTGATTTTGTCTCGACCGATGGTTTATAGAGTTAGCAGAGGTTTCGAATAGAAGGTAATAACTGGCCCGCAGATTTTTTAAGCGAAATAATAGTTATCAATGTTACCTGTAAGAAGCACATTAATGAATTACATTAATGAGTTGCACACGATGCAAAACTATTCTCAGATTCTACTAATGTCTCTACAGTGTTGTATTTGATGTACACTAATGTCTCCCTAATTGTCACCTAAATTGTGCAGAAAAATGGACAATTTGGGAAGAGGAGGTACGATTGTTCGAGCCTTGCGGCTCGTTTTTATAATTGTTGAGAATCGGTAACTATAAAAACTAACTGCAAGGCTCGAACGATCGTATCTACTCTTCCCAAATTGTCCACTTTTATGCACAATTAGGGAGACTTTACTGTAGTCGTTTTTGTTACGTATTTTCGAATATAGGTTCATACGACGTTTTTTAGTTTGGATCCAACCTTTTTGGACATTCTGTGTAATCGCCCTCGATCTTAAGTTCACCTGGGCACCTGAATATAAAAAGGTCACCTGAATATGAGTGGGTTAAAATCTGACTTTAGCTGCACCCTTTTGAAATGTATCTGTTACAATGAAAACTTACGCATACGATTCTGCAGTTTAATCTGCAGGATTCAAGCAACTAATTAACTCGAAAATAAATTTAATTATATTATCGTTTAATTGTGTGTGTGTAGATATTGAAACTTCGTGTAGTTATAGAACCTGAGGTTATGACAAGATTATATTTGTTTAGGCATATCATCATCTTTTAATCTCGAAATAAAAAATGTGAAACCAGTCAAAATTACCAGTATAGTAGATTTAACATTAAAGTAGTTGTTCTTTGCGTACACCATATTTGGTAGCACCAATATGCACTATAAAATAAGTTCAAAATGTTGTGATAAGCAAACGAACGAAACGCAGCAAACAATCTGTGCACAATACAGTAATGTCTCCCTAACTGACGCTTAGATTGTCCACAAAAATGGACAATTTTTGGAAGAGCAGATACGATTATTCGAGCCTTGCGGTTCTTTTTTATAGTTACGAATTTTCAACGACTATAAAAAACGAGCTACAAGGCTCTATCATAATCGTATCTTCTTCTCTTCCCAAATTGTCCATTTTTGTGGACAATCTGAGCGTCAGTAAGGGAGACATTACTGTACAGTTAATGTTTCTCTAACTGACGCTTAGATTGCGCGCAAAAATGGACAGCTTGGGAAGAGGAGATACGATTAATTTGAGTCTTGCGCCTCGTCTTTGTAATTACCGATTTTCAACAATTATAGAAAGGAGACGCAAGACACGAATAATCGTATCTCCTCCTCCCAAATTGTCCATTTTAGTGGACAATCTGTGCGTCAGTAAGGGAGACACTACTGTACTGTCTCTTATAAAATACAGTATAGACATAATTAGTCACTTCTTGAACAGACAGCTTTTACGAAACTAAATATTTATATAAATATTGATACATACCTTGACATAACCTTGACATAACCATCGATTGATGGTTAAAACGATGATTGTCTTAGAAGAGCCATACAACATTTCCGTGAACTGTATTTGATCGACGAGGCATGTAAAGCCATAACGCGAAGCCAGGAATCCGCCGGATAGTAATTTTATCCGCGGAGCTTATTGAATCGATGACGTAATAAAGATCCGTTCGTGGGGGGATATCGATGATGCGGCGTTAATGCGGGACCGATTCGCGACACCGCGAACAATTTTGCGGCCGCCGAGCTTCCCCGCTAATTCACCGTTCGTTCGGATCGCGTTGCGGACGCGATTGCATTCGTTAATACAGAAATCCGTTTTCGATCGCGCGGCGATCGTTCGGAGCGCCGCGCCGCGACGCGACGCGACGGAACGCGAATACGCCTTTCGGCCTAGATAAATAACGAGTCCCGGGGATTGTCGTCGACACGGGAACCGGTGAAAAATTAATTAAATTTGT